GATGGTTTTGACAACCTTGGAACAATGCTATTTTAAGAAAATTGATATGTCATCCAAGGTATATAAGGAGAGGGTTTTTGAAAATCAGTGTGAGAGCAAACTGCCATTTGAGAAATAAGCATTTTACTCTCACAAGAAATCTCTAAGCTCTCTAAGAAAGCACCATCTATCCATGAAAAGGTACCTCGGCACTCCTAGCTAAGAGTCTTCACAGAGAAAACATCCCCGACAGCCAGATCAGATGAGAACAGCAGAAGAAAGGCGTGTAGACTTTGACAGACTAAGTTTCAATTTATTTTCTTATTACTTCAGTTTATGCAAGTGGGACTTGTGTTTATTGGAACAGCATACCAGTAGAATTTAGTTCAGTTAGGGAATAGTTCAGTTTATTAGTGCTTCTGTTAGTATGTTCAGTGTTAGGGTTAAATAAATAAATTGTTATTTGTTACTTATAAAGTGAATATCAAGGATTTTCTTTCATTTAACCACCCCTTCTCCATAACAGTTTAACATATGAGGCGAGGTGAGGGGAGCTTCTCTGGGGTTTTGGGTTTAATTATTAGAAGGGAACCTTTACTCCTGCTGTAACAGATTAGGGGCTTGTGTTTCAATTTTGATTATCAGAGGGGTTCAACCACCCCCTCCATAACAATACAAAGTCAGTTTCAACACAATAAGGTTTAGGAGCTTCAAGAACGGCATATAAGGTCTGTATGTGGCACAGCAAATACATGATGTGGAGATGCCAGTGTTGGACAGGGGTGGACAAAGTCAGAAGTTACACGTTAACATGCTATAGTCCAACAGGTTTATCTGAAATCACAAGCTTTCAAAGCACTGGTCCTTCGTTAAAACTTCACCTAATGAAGGAGCAGCACTCTGAAAGATTATGATTTCAAATAAACCTGTTGGACTATACCTTGGTGTTGTGTAACTTATGACAGAAAATACAGTTTAAATCAATGATATTGTATTGATAAAGATGCAAAATGATGCAACAGAAAGGTTAGCAGATTTTAGACAGCATTTGAAATCTGCAGGAGACTGAGTTTTTATCTACCATATAACCAGTGTAAATGCAAAGCCTGGAGTGGCTTGGCTCTATAACCTTTCTTTCCCTTAGCAGATAACAGGTGGTAAAACTTTTAAATGGGGGTTCTTTTAACTACAAAATGATCAGAAGTTTGTAATAAGCAAATCTTCCACGAGTGATAGCTGGGGACAAGAAATGATACAGAAACTGCAGGCAATAGCTGTCACATGATAAAATGTATATGAACCTCTTGGCTGAAGCAGAATGTGGAAGTGCAGCAGAGATTGTATATACCTTATAGAATGCAACAATGTCCGAATTAAGCTTGAGCAGCTTCTGAAACACATTTAACTGACAAGTAATTTAAGAAAAGATAAAACAGAAAATATGTCTAATGTCCTACAAGTTTACCTCAAGCATGATGTAGACCATCCTCCTCAAGTGCACTGGTCTCCAAGAATTTGGCTAGCAAAGACTTCAAATTAATTATATTAAATAAAAGAATATACATCACAAATCAGACCAGGTCGTCTGTTCTGATGTTTACAATCCAGAATTCTGTTTCTATTCTTGTTACCTATTCGCCTCAACCAGTTCTTGCGGAATCAAATTCCTAGTTCTAACCATCAAGTATTATTTTTCTTTTTATTTCTTGCTGGATTTATTCCTAATGAGTCAAAATGAATTTTAGGTTTTCAAAGAATCAGTTGAGTTGCTTTGGACATATCTTGCTTGGAGAAACCAATGTACAGCTATATATAAAAAAATGTGTGCAGTACTGTGCATTCTTAAATGAAATAAATCAAAAAAACACGAATCATTAAATATAATAGTTATACTCTCTAGATAGGTAGTTCAGCATCTTTCTCAGCAAAAAAATATTAGAACGCCACAAGCAGAAACGCTATCCATTAAATGTCTACAGTTAAGTGAAATAACTTTTAATGTAAATTTTAAACATAAAATACATCATAAACACAAAACAAAGACTTACACACTTTGTTTTTGGATTGGCCAGGCTTCAACAAGTTACAGAAGCTGGTTAACGTTGGTAGCAACTGAAATCCCAGGACTTCAGCATATGTTCAAGAGTGGGAACAGGAGCAAGAGGAGAAGGATTGGCTGAAAAAGTCTGCAGTGGTAGCAGTGGATGCTGAGGGCATTAAAAGGAAGAACAGAGACAGAGAATGACAGCAAGACGAAGAGTGACACAAGACCAAGGGGATGAGCATGGGTCAGGGTGAGGGTTTCAACACTAATGGTGGGATGGGAGTGGTAGTGCTAGTGTGGACACAGCAGGGGGAAAGAGGGGCAGCTTTTAAAATCCCTAGTGTTGGCACAGACACTGGGACTTTAAAAGTAAGAACAGAGGGGTGGAAAGAGCATCATGGAGGAACAGGGGCAATGCTGACAGGACACCAGTGTTGGGAGGAAAGGTCATATGCACAGAGGTCACTGAACTTGAACTCTGAGACAAACAATATTAAAGTGAAACTTGCCATGTTAATTACTGTATTCTTACTATTAATTTTAAAAGGAAATAGTGTTAAACAGGGACTTTACCACAGGTCACCTTTCCCACAACTCCTGCAATTAGGCAGGTGTCAAATGAAGTACTCGACATTGCTTTATTCCAAAGCACAGAAGTTGACAGAGAAACAGATAAATGTTTTTAAGAAGCCGCTTACTCAGGCTTGAAACTTGTACTTCAGTGTATGGGTTAAAACCATACAGGAGAAAATAGTTGAATGATATGCACAAACTCGATTCATGTAGAGAATGGTGCTTTGCGCTTTCTCGTTCAATGTAGGGACCACTGTGTCCCACTGGTCAGCCAGTCAAATTTTTAAGATGTTGTTCCCTCAAGATCTATTACAAAATCATCCACCATGGTTCAAAAGCGAAGAGTGATGCAATGACATTTACTGACATTCTCCCACAAATGGAAACATATTCTCCACATCTACTGTATTCAACAATTTTATAGTTTTAAGGATCTCTATCAGAACTCCCCAAAGATTTTTCTAAAGAAAGTTCTCAACATGTTCAATCTTCCCTAATAGATATAATTTCTTAGCCCAAGTAACATCCTATTAAAATACTCTGGCAGTAAATCTAATCTTTGTTTTGTGCCTGTGCTCCAAGTCTCACCTGACCAAACCTGGCCCAAAACAACCTGCCACCTAAAGTGCTTGACTTGAAATCCTGCAAAACCCATATCCAGAGGCTTTCAATTTTGAGTGTTTACTTGAACTAATTTTGAATTCTGTACCACAAAAAAACCCCCAATGTTCATGGTAGTATTTTTCATTGCTAAATTTAGTTTAGCATTCATTTCCGATCCATAATGATAATATTAATGATTTGCTCAATTTTATCCCTTTGCTCATCTATTCCATTCAATTTATCATTTACAAAGATGATTGCAATTAATTATACTCCTAGTTTACTTTCATAGGGAAATTTTACAATAAATAATTCAAGCTTAAATAATTCAAAATCCAAATAATCAATATAAACAATGAACTACTGTGAAATTATTTATTATATATTCTGCTTTTTATCTGCCCTTTGTTGCGACTCTACAGTGGTAGGTCATAAGCCTTTTTGAAATCCAAGTACCTGTATAATACATTTACTACAAAAGCCTCATCTATTCTCCAAGATAGTTAAGCACGACTTAGGCTTTTGAATCCATGTTGTCTTATTACATATTGTCTCATGATGAATGTCTGACTATTTTTGTATAGATTTTGCTAACCATCAACACTGACATTAAGCTGACTGATCTATAGCTGGCAGGATTTGTCCTACTTTCATACAAATAAGAGAGTTGGAATATTAAAGCCTCAAAGAGAAGACATGAATTAAAACACAAAGCAAACATGTAGCTACGATCTTCCAATCTTCATCCTCCTTGACACTCCCTTCAAAGCGCTCCAAATAGAACAGGCTGGATGCCTTTGCATGGACTGAAGTATTCTGGAGTGATTACTTATAGGATATGATTACTGCATGAGTCAGTGATTTTTTTTAAATGTCAAGAGTGGCTTAATAGCAAAGGGCAGAGTGGAAACACAGGAGATAAAAATTAATAAAATAATTTCATAATTGACTAGCTATTTTAGTGGCTAAACAAAAAGATTGAAGAATTGTGGAGAAATGCATTTGATTTTCTCCCATTATATTTCACAAATGTTCAGTTTACCTTAATTCTCATTTACTTTAATTTGAAACCGGGCATGCCCACAATCAGGTACGGAAAACAACCCTAAATGAATCAACACGGCATGTTCAGCGTACCAGGCCAGGATTATTATACATATTAAATTTCAGTTAATATCAAATACTCTATAAATGCAGAAACACAAGGTTTAACATCGAATTACAATCGTGCGCAATCGGTTAACTAAGTAAATAATTTCGTCAGCATCACTCCCCAGTGACCAGTTCCCCACAACTCAACAATTTAAGAGAAAACTAGAACGCCAGTTTGTAACACATTGTAATGGGCAGCACATTTCATGCGCTATTCTTGTGTTTTATATGAAATACCAGTACTGGTGTTCCATTACCACTGGACACTGATCTCAAATTCTATTTTTAACTTAAAGGAATAAAGCTGCAAATAATAGGTCAAATATCACTGCAGGGAACTCCGGAGATCAGAAATGCTCCACTTGATCACTGGACCATACAAAGTAGGCCAAAAGTTTACAAATTTTACATAAAACCCGACAGAATTTCTAACTCCAAAGCCTTGAGCAAACAAGCAGGTGCATTCCAAACTCAACGGAATAAAACAGGCTATTTCACCCCAAATCGGGGAAAAACCATGAGGAATGTCATTCCATGCCCCCACAGAAAGGTGGCACAGGAAATTCCATCCCCATTCCTAAGAAGCAAGACTGAGAATACCATCCTACGGAAACCTTCCCGATATTTTCTCCTTTCCCAGACTCAGCACCTGTCTCTCGGGGTGACTCCAGGCTTCAGCGCCGTCATGTTCCGCCCATCGCTGGGATACTGCTCCTCTCCCCCCACGCCGGTACGGCTGCTCCTCGCGGTCAGACAGCGAAGGATATGTGTCGGAATCAGAAGCCGGCGTCTGTCGCCGGGAGGCTGGTTCCTTGACGCCTGCCGACTCTATGCCCAGCACCGCTCCCAGTCGCTCGAGCGACTTCTCGATGTCTTCCAGAGTGAGCTCCATGTAACGGGCAGCCGGCTGGGGCGAAGGGGGGATAGGATCGGGGCTTTTCGGCTCATTGCCTTTAGCCGAGCTCGCGGATGTATCATCGGACTTCCTCATGGACAGGAGGGCGACCACGAAGGCGAACAAAGTCAGACACAAAGATAACATCCACACCTCATCCATGTCTGCGTCGAGTGGTCACCAGATCCACTCACTAAGCCTTCACACGTCAACGTCCCGCCACCAAGGTAGCTCGAGATGACACACGCTCCGCCTTCCGTTAGCCCCGTCCTTCTACTCTGGATGGCATCCAATCACGCACGAAGGAAACATAGTCTGTTCCACCTCTTAGCCAATTACATACTAAAGCTGCACTCCACCAATAGCACAGCAGCTAACTCAAAGGATGCAACCAACTGAATTGCGACAAAGGCACGTCAGTTAAAGGTTTGCTAGCCAATGGGATCGCACACCGCCCACACACCCAACAGAAGGTCTCGCGATTTGCTGGGAAACTGCTGATTCAAATATTACGCAGGCGCTGTGTTGACTCAATCCTTCTTTTCCCGCCAGAAGTTTGTGCTAGTTTGATCGTTGCATCAGGTAATAATAGAGATCTCACGTGGATATTATACATTTTTCTTAAAGGTTTAGTATCACCCTCCCCTACTATTGGTATATTCTTCACTGAGGTGTCCCTAGATCAACCAATTTACTCTCGAAGTTGGGAAAACTTTGAGAAACGATCACCGAGACAAAATTAGCAAACGTTGGACAACTGTGGATTAGTTTAGGGAATTTTTTTTGTAACTAATTTGATTGAGTTTGTCAATGAAGTAGCACAAACAGATGTCGTTAAAAGCAAAATACTTCGGATGCTGGAAACCTGATAAACAAATGCTGGAGAAACTAGCTCGACTGGTTGAATCTATGGAGAGCGACATACTTGACTCGGTACGTAACTGAGTTTTCTCGCCACGTGCTGCCATTATATGTTTTATAACAAGGGAATCTAATGAGGGTAGGTAGTGTAGTCGATGTGCTGGAAATAGGTTGTCAAACGACATTTTATACAGTGCCGCATCAAAGGTTTATTGTCGGAATTCAAATCCATGTAATAATAGAGGTGCAGAGTATTTCTTAAATTGTGAAAGATGGAAACTGTTGATCTCCAAAGGGATCTAGGTGTACACATTCATATGTCACTGAAAGCAGCAGACAGATACATCAAACAATTCAACTAGCAACCAAAATGTTAGCCGTTATCCCAAGCGGTTTTGGGTACAGAGCAAAGAATTATTGCTTCAATTGTATAGAGCATTAGTGAGACTGTACCTGTTGTATTGTGCGCAGTTGTTCTCTTACACAAGGATATATACCACCAAAGGATTGTTGGGACAGTCTTATCAGGCGAAATTGGAAGGGTCTGTATTCTCTGGAGTTTACAAGAGTAAGAAGATCTCATAGAAACTTACATAATCCTTAAGGGAATTATAAAAACCAAAAGAACTGCGGATGCTGTAAATCAGGAACAAAACCAGAAATTGCTGGTAAAGCTCAGCAGGTCTGGCAGCATCTGTGAACAAAAAAAATCAGAGTTAACGTTTCGGGTCCAGCGACCCTTCCTCCAAACTGTTCTGAGTTCTGAGGAAGGGTCACCGGACTTGAAACGTTAACTGTTTTTTTCTTTACAGACGCTGCCAGACCTGCTGAGCTTTTCCAGCAACTTCTGTTTTTGTTCTTAAAGGGATATACTGAGTAGATGTCGAAAGGATGTTTACCCTGCCTGTGGTACCTAGGACCAGAAGGCACAGTCTCAGACTGAAAGGCAAGCCATTTAAGACTGAGATGACATGAATCTTTGGTGCGTTCTACCCTGGAGGGCTGTGGAAATTCAGTCATTAAGTAACCTCAAGACAAAGATTGATATATTTCTAGTTGCTAATGGCATTAAGGAATATAAGAATAGCATGGAAATATGGCATTGAAGTAGATGATCAGCCATGATCTAAAATAGTGGAGCAGACTCAAAGGGTTGACAACTTCTTCTCCTATGTTCCTATATAATTCTACCATCAATGTCATCAATTATTGCCATCAATCAGGGCACACAAAATCTTCTTGATAAGCCCACCTACCCCACCTGTTTAAGCAACTAGCAACCAGTCTTCAAATATGAGCTTTAACAAAAACAGTAATTTCAGCACCTGACTGCATCACCTTCTGATACCCATGTTCAGGATGTTCAAGGTTATAGATCTGGACCTTTTATGGGAGTTGTTTGATAATGTCCCATTACAGACAATACTGCGATTAGTCAGTAGGTAAATTTGCAATTTAACAGAATATTATTAGAAAAACAACTCAATAATAGTAGTTTCCAGACTTTGGCTGCATTTACCTTCTGATGGTACTTAAGACTGGAACATTTTCTCAAAAGATGAACCCAAGGCTGCAAGTCCTGGGTAACACCAATGTACTGAACCATAGGGCAATATGACATTATGTGAGGAAATCACCACCTGGTTAACTAGCAGGTTTCTGTCTGTATCTGCACTACCCTGTGAAGGCATGATATTTGAGCTGTCCCAGTGCCAAGGAGATGACCTCAATAAATACATGCACACCATATAAGGAGACACACATTTGAAACCTATGCCATGCAAGCTGGTCACGAGTTGATGGATAGAATCATGACTAATGATACTTGCATACCAGTTGTAAAGAGACAGGGGCTGCTAGCAGCCTCGCCAGGTTAGTGAACATCATTTCTTGCAGCAACAAGAACTGCAAGAGATTAAGAAGACCATTCGGCTCATCCCAGCCAACATGTTTTATGTATATTCTTTCATTGATTATAGGTGCTGTTGGCAAGACTAACATTTGTTGCCCATTCCTTTTTGCCCTTGAGAAAGTGGTGGTGAGCTACCTTAAACTACTGCAGCCCATATGTTGCAGATGCGCACATAGTGCCGTTAGGAAAAGAGTTCCAGAATTTTAATCCAGTGACAGGGAAGGATTGGTGTTATAGTTCCAAGTCGGGATATCTTGAGTTCCAAGTCAGGATATCATGTGACTTTGAGTAAAACTTGCAGTTGGTGTTGTTCTTATGAACATACTGCCCTGTTTTTCTTGGTGGTGGAGGCTGGGTTCAGATGGAGCAATGTGAGTTGCTGCAGTGTGTTTTATATACACTTCTATCACGGTGCATTGGTGTGGAGGTAATGAATGTTTTAGGTTGCAGATGGGATCCCAATCAAAGAGGATGCTCTGTTTCAGATAATGTTAAGCTTCTTGAGTGTTGTCAGAGCCACATCTTTGCAGGAAGTTGGTGAGTATTCCATCACATTCCTGACTTGTGCCTTGTTGAGGTGGGCATGATTTGAGAGTCAGGAATGAATTAATTGTCACAGAATTTCTAGCCTCTGTCCCACTCCTACAAACATAGGAAATAGGAGCAGGTGCAGCCTGTTGTGTCTGCTCCGCCATTCAAGCATCATGACGGTTGATCAACCTCTACGCCATTCTGCACCTTCTCCCTCCACTCCGTCCCTTGGTTACATTTCTGTCTTGACATACTCAATGATTGAACCTCCACAGTCCTCAGGGTAGAGAATTCCAAAGATCTACCAACCTCCGAGGGAATCATAGTCATAAATGGCCTGGCTATCATTTAGACACAATATTTATATGGTTGATTCAGATCAGTTCTTGGTCAATGGTAACTACCAGGCTGGTGATGTGTCCGGACCATTTTAGGCAGAATTTCAGGAGGCTGGAAGTACTGATTTACTATTTTTGTTTCAATTGCCATTCTAACGCCGGCATTACCCATCCTACAAAAAAGCAAATTGCAGCCTTCCTCCAGCATAGCCTTCACTATATCTGCAGCTTTAATGGTCACAACTGCATGAATTCTTTTGCTTCAAGGCTGCCACTGGAGGCGTACGTTCAGTGACAGCACAGCAGGAAGCCAGTTTACTCTTTGTGTCCATGCCAGCTCCTCTATCAATACTCCAGTGTTCCATTCCTCTGCTTAGTCCCTAGGAGTAAGGACATGGCCACGAGTCCTTAAATTGCTGAACTCTATTAAGTCCAGAAGGCTGCAGAGTTCCCAAGTGAAAAATCCTCTTTCTGATACTAGGATTTCTTCTTTAATCATTGGTGCCATCGTATATCTTTTTTTCCATCTTGACATTTTCTGAACACTTTGTATCCTTGCATATTAAATATCTAGTTCTCACCACTTTTAGGCCAACTTTTTCATTTGTGTAATTAAACAATATTCCCATATTGCTATTAGCACTTGCAGCTCACCAACCTGATTTACATTACTTTATGGTTATGTATGGACATTGGAGTCCTCCTCCATTTCCTATATATGGTACTACTTCCTCCTGTAGTATTGTCCAACATTCTCTTACTCAATGCACATTTTCCTTCCTTTCTACTTCTATATGATGGGTACCAATCACTGTCAATTTAGTTTGAACCCTCGCCAACTGCCCTAGTCAAGCACTCCACAAGTGCATTGGTTCCAATCTTATTGAGATTGTGATGAAAAGTGTGTAATACATACCATTTTTGGAATTTGATTTGAAATCTGTGGGTTTTTAGAACTGAAAAAATTTTGGCTCTCAGATTTGGGAAAAAAAAATCATGTTAGCAGATTTGGAAAAGACATGGACCTTGAGCAAAATGGCTTCCTGCTGCGCTATTATTGAATGTATGTATCCAGTGGCAGATTTGGAAAATTGTCTCCACAGACTCGCAGCAAAGAAACTGTAGGAGTGAGTTAAAGAGTTGAGATATGTAAAATCCTCTGGACTTGAGTCTCTGTGATGGATATTGTCAGAAAACTAATTGAAACTTTGATGTATATTTTAGATCTTGCTAACTGTCTTCTACATTTAGATAAATTGGTTTGTATGGTTTAGTTTTCTTTTGTAGAATAAACTTCTAGTTAAATCTTCCACTAATCTATTTTAGTGACTAACCACTCTGTTAAGCAACTAAAGAAGAAAATAAATATATCTATCAAGTCTGGTTTCATTCTGACCATAAGACTTAAGAGCAGAATCAGACCATTTGGCCCATTGGGTATGCAATGCCACTTGATCATGGCTGATGTGTTTCTCAACCCCATTTTCCTGTCTTTTCCCTGTAACTCTTGATCTCTTTACCAAACAAGAACTTATCTATCTTTGTCTTAAGTACTTTGTCTCAATGACTTGCCCTCCTCAGCCCTGTGCAGCAATCACAGATTCATCACCCTCCAGCTGAAGAAATTCCTTCTCATCTCAGTTCCAAAGGGTTGTCCCTTCACTCTGAGGCTGTGCCTTGAGTTCTAGTCC